AGAGGCATTTGTAATACTTTAACAATAAAGATACATTTTTTTAAAAAGTAAAACTATCACAGTTCAGATACAAGTTCGCACTTCACGGATACAAGTGTCAAGTATGAATGGCCACTAAGGACTCATTCTTACCCCTTATACCTCAACAGGTGTGCTGCCTGAAAGGGCACAAATGCCTCTCACTCAGAGCTGTTCTTTTTCCTACAGTTAGTTTATTCCCACAAACAACCCTATGAGGAGTGTCAATGACAGGGTTAGATGTTGGGGCGAAGGTCAACAAGCAGTCCAGGACTCCCGGGTTTCCAGTGTGGGAGAATGGGTGGTTAGAGGTGTCATTAACAGAGAAAGAGACAACAAACTGAGGGAGAGATGGTGAATTTAGTTTTGAACATGCTGTGTCTAAAGTACGATCCAGCATCCACAAGAGAAATGCGTAAGCAGCAATTGGAAATGGGGATCCTCTGATTTTTGTAAAATTTAAAGTCACTAAAACCCTTAGAGAGAAATGGCTCAAAGAGTGGCCTGAACACAGTCTTTCTTTGCTGCCTCATTTCTGTGCCTGTCCAAAAACACACGAAGCTGCCTCCAAGTCTAACCTGACTCACCAAGCTAACTTTTCCCAACTATCTGCTGGCTGGAGAAGAGAGGGAGTTTGTAATGAGAGGCAACAGATTATACTAGACTAAGATTTTAGGTACAAAGACCTTATGTTCAAAACTTGACTTTGCCACTTCCTAATAATGTAAAACTGGGCAAGTCACTTAGCCTCCCTACCCACGTCCCAGGCTGATATGAACGAGATGATTATAAGTAAGGAAAGTACATGTGGAATCATATGTTATCAACATGACAAGACTAAATGGGTGACAAACAGTATAAAGGTACTAGGAAGGGAATGTAGTAAGCAGGAAGGACTAGGTGACGGAAATACATAATGGGTAATAACTGAAAAAAATCACTCAGGGAAAATTCGATTAGCCTACTGAACTTCTATAGCACACATCTGTAATTCTTTAATAGCATCCAGCATTTCCCACTTCTATTTTTCATGTTCACATTGTATCACTTGCACTAATCTATAAGCCCCTTGAAGATAAAATCTATATCTGTTTCATCTGGGATTCACTCACCATGTCTCTTATATTTTAAATAATCAATAACTGTGTATTTACTGTATTACTAAGTGGAAGAAAATTCAGTAGTGACCAATGTTTCTAGAGTCTCATTACACAAAGCAGTATTTTAATCTTTTTAGCTGACACAAAGTAATACAAATATTTTTATAATGATGTTACATTTTATCAGTTAAACAGAAAATAAAAGTATAAATAATTCTGGATCAACATAAATGATTCCTAATTAGCTATGGGGGAAAATCCATGTCCATTGCAGTGCTCATGTTGAATGACCGCTACCCCCAGACTGGGTCACCTGCTGCTATTCCACATCTGGCTGAGCAGGTAAGGGAAACAGTCTTATGTAATCCCAGAGAATAAAACTGGCAGCTAAGTTATACCAGGATCAATGGCATGATGATGTTGATTGGTTTGAGGAAGTCACCAAATCCTCTTTCCCTTTTGGCAACTATAAAGCTGGACAAAAAACTGTCGAAAACTGGGACCTGTCCAAAGGCATATAACAAATTGAGGTATTTATTCCTAAGTATTTTATTCTTTTTGATGCTATTATAAATGAAATTTTCTTAATATCAGTCTCAGATTATTCACTACAAGTACACAGAAGTACCAAATGACTTTTATATACTGATACTGATTCTTGCTGAACTAATTTATTAGTTAATTTACTGATGGATTCACTATGATTTTCTATATACAAGATAATGTTATCTGTAAATAGTTTTACTGGTAGTTTCTTGAAAAGTTAAATATAACTTAGCATATGACCCAGAGACTCTACTCCTAGGAATCTACTCAAGAGAAATGAAAACAAATGTCCACACAGATTTGTACACAAACCTTCACAGTACCATGATCCAAAATAGTCAAAAGCTAGAAACAATCCAAATGGCCATCAACTGGTAAGTGAGTAAAAAAATGAGGTATATCCATATAAAGGAATACTGTATTCAGCAATTAAAAAGATACAAAATACTGATATATGCCATGATGTGGAGGATTTAAAAAAAAATTACCCTAAGTGAAAGAAGCCAGTCACAAAGAGGATTCCATTTTATATAAAATGACTTCAAAAGGCAATTTTATAGAGAAAGAAAATCACTGGTTACTTGTCGCTGGGGGTAGGAGCAGGTATTGACTGCAGACAGGAGGGAATTTGGGGGGATGACAATGTTTTGTATCTATTCTCTGATGACAACTGCACAGCTCTATAAATCCACTAAAATTTACTAAGTTGTATATTTACAATGGGTGAATTTTATAGTATGTAAAATTATACCTTTTTTCTACTGTAAAATACCAATAGTTATGGACCTAGGACATTCTGTTGCTCAAAATACCTGAGCTTAAAAAGTAAATTAACCTATTTGAAGTTTTCACAAAATCGAAATGTCCAGAAATTACAAGATTTTACAAATGCAAGTTAGTCATCAAGGGGCCCATGGCATAAGTGAGTTATACAGATCTCTAGGCCAAATGTAGTAAAAGTCTTTGTTTCTTAAAAAAAAAAAAAAAAAAAAAAAAAGATGTCTGATTATATTAAGAGTTATGCTGGTTTCTTTCCCTTCTGCCATCAGAGTTCACCTATGAAAATTAAAGATCTGATCACATCACTCCCTAAACTACCTACAGAATGAAGT